ATTACAAAATTATGGCAAAAGTGAAGAAACACGAAAAGCCGCAAAGCCAAGGACATGAAATTCTATACTCTATATAGATACATCAGACGGAAGCTGAGGAAAGATCTCGAAAAGTACAATTATAAGCGCAAAGCTGCAAGAGGGAAACGTTCAAAGGAAGCAGTATCTGGAGAAATAAGAAAGAAACCACTACTTTGCGGTATCACAGAGCGGTGCTTAAAAATGAGATTGGTCTTTCAATCGCAATCATATAGATACAATATACAAGTTAGAAAGTCCTACACTAATCTGTTCACATCATTTATAGACATTTCAGTATCTTTATTCTTCGCCACCAAACAGAAGGCTTCTCCTTTATTTATTAGCGAGGCAAGACACATGCCTTTCTGGACGAGAAGTAAAAAAGTTCATGAAAATGATGGTATCACGTCGAATTGACCAGAGCCAGAAAGCAGTTCTCATTCGGATCAATTATTTCGTTGAATAAAGGATGCCAAACATTTCAAAAGATTCAAAAACATTTACTTTGCAAGTTCGATAAGCAAAGTTTTAAGAATTGTCTCCTAATTTGCTGACTTCCTCACGCTTACACGATCGATGTTCATATGGAACAGTCCTATTCATTTAACAAGACCTCTAAGGAGCAAGCTGAATTTTGTAATAATTACGGCACAGTGGACTACATTTTGCCTTGAATCAATGCTGAAGCGTGCAATAAAACATCAACCCAACTGCTTTTGTCGTTTGTTAGAAAACATTCGACAGCAGAAAGCATTCGAGCTAAGTGTTATGTTGCGAGCTTATGTGGATAGAAGACTGACAAAAACCGCATGGAAATTATTAAGGAAACGAATGCATGATGATAAACGCAACACTTTTCTATTCTATCCCCTATATTGATCAAAAGAAGCATTCCCATACCGCGCATGTTTTTAAGCTTTTTAAAAGATTGGAGGGGAAGTAATCTAAATATCAGCGGCGAGCGCAAAGCCAAATAAACTTCGAAGATAAGCAATTTCTCACTGTAGACAGTACTCACGAAATGAGATGGCGCTGCAACACAACGCACGAAGTGAAATTCAACG